AGTCTTTTATCCAGTAATGTAGGAATAAAGGCAAGAGCTTTTGGTTATGGAGTAATAAATAATACAGATACATGTCCAGACTATAGAGTATAATCATCAAGGAACTGAGAATCTATTTGGCCATCTATCCTGGAAACGACAGTGCATTACATACAGTATCTTTTCTTACATGAAGTGTTCCCTCCCTACCCCTCTCCCTAGAGAAAATGTGTTTGTACTTGTAGCCCAAATTAATTTTTCATCTCTTTCCAGACACTGGGTCTTGGGAATAGATCTGACATTCTCTTTTATGGAGTGTTTTGGTTATTTCCCATCAAAGATAAAAGAGCAAGGGTTAATGTGATGACCAAATGTGGTTGAAGACTTATTTTTGAAGCATGCCTACCTAGCCTCAGTTAGCCATGGTAGGACTGCAGTGTCATTTTAGGACTGAGTGCCATCTGTATAGGGTCATGATGTTTATTTCCTCTTCACAACTGAAACTTTCCTATTAATGGAAAGGTTTTGAAAGTGAGGCTTACAGCCAACCTTGCAGCATGACTGCTTGGCAGCTATGTAGACACAGTCTATAAAGAGATGAGGTATCTGTACCATGGTTGGACATTCTGCCATTTTCACGTTTGAGCAGATTCCTTTTTGTCTTTGGATCGTATTGAGCAGGTCAGACATAGAGAGTGCAATGGTGCCTTTTAGCTGACACATGAACTCACTTCTTTGTAGCTGAAGTTCTCTAGCCTGATGGGCATTCTGTGCCCACCATTGAGTTCCGGTCTCCTCTAGTTCTTTGACTTTTTGCAGATGAGTAGCCTGACATTTAATGATGCCATAAACTTCTTGGTCTTGATCAGAGAATCTCATATGGTAGAAGATAATCAGCCAAAAGAAGCCTGATGTGCAAGTGATGTTAAATGAAAAGCAAACACAGACAGCAGCAACAAACAAACTACTTACCAATCACCATTGTTGGACTGGAATGTACTTTGCCCTTTTTGGTTTAATCCTCAGGATCAAAAGATTCTACCTTTGACTCCTAGCTACACCAGTAACATAACTAATATTTACTAAGTATATATGTAAGCAGTGCAAAATGTATCAGGCATTTTCTCATCTTTATTATCTACATATTGATTCATTTTCTGAACCTGAGCCATGGCAGGTAGGTATGATAATGTCAATAACACATTTCCAAAGAATAATGGCTTCCCCTGCCCCCTCTTTTTTCTGCTCCATGAGGTTTTACAAATAATGGCAATATAATACTTTTGCACTCAGCATCCACTATGAAAATGGGCCATATAAATCAATTGTCAGCACTGTGACTCACAAGTTAAGAAGCTCCTGGCTCCATTTCTTACACCAGAACATCCAATTTGAACAAAGTGGTTTGAGGGTAGTACAGCACAGTTGTAAGAAGTCTTTCAATTGACACATGACATCAAGGTCCCTTCCTGTGCCTACTATTCTTTTAGAAAGGCAGTTTCATAGCAATATTTGGAGTAAGGAAGATGTGAAGTGGCAGCTAATATGCACCTCACCACACATACGCTGCACCCTTATGTGTTGGATCGTGGTTGTTGCATCAGGAGAAGCTGTTAATAGCCTAACAAAGTATTCTTTGTTAACTTTGCACAGGATAAATGCTTACATACAACAATATTGCATTGCTGTCCCTAAAATGTTTCGAACCCACCTTTACTTTGGGTAGTGGAAATCAGATATTGTATCTAACCACTAAATAAGCTTCATGAAAAAGGGTGTGAATAACTAAATTGCCATGATGGGCAGCCAGTGTATCTGGTTATGTTACTTTTTAACCATTGTCTCAGTCAAGTTTCAGTTTTCAAGTCACCTGTTTTTTCAGGTGGCAGAATTTAATGATTTATACACAAAACAGATTTCAAATTCAGGAGCCATTTTTGCAGATTTTGATTCTATTATGGTGCCTGTCTGAGTGGTAATTATATTTCAAAATCCAAATAAAGCTATATAAAGAATGCAATTTAAAGTACAATATTTGATTTCTTTCAACATTCTGCAAAAAAGAAACACCAACCAGGGTATAGTAATGTCAAACAGACACTGTCTGGCACATCAGGGTTCTTCCAGATGTGTTGGTCTGCAACCCCAATCATTTCCAGCCAGCATGGCCATTGCATCAGACCTTGCACCCGGAGAACTAAACAAAGCCCTTTGCAGGCGTTGCTTAAACAGATCCAGGTTCCGATTGTTTCAGGACCTATTCATGCTAAGCTATAGTATGATGGTGCTATATGATAAGCAGCTGAAGATAGGCCTTATTTTTAGGAGAGAAGGATGACCTAACAGCTAGAGCTAGAGCCTTACACTTAATGGTGTAGGCAACAGTGTGTCATGAAAGGCTAGCGCAGGATGTATTTTCCAGTTCTTTCAGTGTTTTGGAGGCTAGGTCTCTATTCTAAAGGTAGGGTGTAACCTGTCTGGGAACTGGAAAAAGGAAGCAGTGAAGTTGTTAGTCCTAGACTGTGGTGGCCTTCGTGACTAGTCATTGGGATGACCAAGAATTGAAGTGCCACCTGAGAATTTGCAAGGAGAAGTGGTGTAGGGGAAAGGGTCAGAGCTGAACAGACCTATCCAGTTTCAGTCCCACTGTTTACATTATGCTCAGAGGGTGCAGATTTAGGTGTTCTACAAGCCATCAAGTAATTCTAGGTGTGGTTCTATTCCTAAAGTTTCCTCTTTCATCCTTTCAGCTTGGCATCCACTAAACCATGCCTTCTTCAACCAGGTGTTCTCTGGATTTGTTGGGCTATAATACCCACTTTCTCTAACTAGCAGGGCCATGGCTAGGAATGATGGGGTTTGTGGTCCAACACATTTGGATCTCACCAGGTTGAAGTGCCTGTCTTATAAGTGAAGGTCCTTTAAATGAGATAATTGCTCCTCAAAATCCCCAAGTTTGTGTCTTGGGGAATATGGATGCAAACAGGGTTGAGTGGGTGCTGCAAAAGTACAGCTTCTGTTCATGGCTAAAGATAATTTCAGAAAACACATTAAACGTTCATAAATGATATAAATAAAGCACGTGGGAGAGGGGAAATAGCCTCCTCAAAGAGGTATGCAACATGTGCATTGACTCATGAGAGCATTTTCAAGTGGTCTTGCTTCCCAGTCACTAAAACTGGCCCCAATTTTAGTCAGACCTGTCTAATGGGTAGACTTTAGATGGTTCGGTTAGAAAACATTATTTTAAAATGTTTCTAGGAAGTTAATTTAGTGAACCAGACCATCTCTTCTACATACATGGGGTGACAGAGTTTCCAGGATGCTATGGTGAGCGGTAGCAGTTGTTTTCTTCGACTGGTTACGAACGTTTTTCCCCAAAGAGGGCCTGACAAAACTACGTCTTTATATCTACCTTTTAGAGGCAGCATAATACTTATGTTTAATTAAAAGTGGTTATTTTAATACTTAATTCAACAACGTTAATTGTATTGTTGTAGGCCATGGTTAGTATATTTTGTTAAGTGTTTTGAAATTATTTTGATGATCTAATCATATGCTTGTTTACTTTGCAGCTAATTCCACTGTTTCCATTGTGCCATTATGTCATTTTCGCCCTTCTGTTTAACTTTGTCTAACAATTTTGGAGCATTAACACTGCACCATTGTTGTATCCACTGTTTTTGTGTTTGTGTTTGTTTTTGCAACTGCTGATCAGTGCAGGATAACAGTCTCATTTAAAAAGAAAATAGCATCATTCTTTAAATAATATCTGACTTCCATGTCATATGTCCAAGTTTCCATCAACATATGACTACTTCAGTATAGACCGAAAGAACACCAATTTCACCTCCCCCCCCCACAAAAAAAATTCTCACCATTTGTGCTGACTCATGAGACTTGCTCCTGGGAGAGTAGAGAATGTGTGAAGTGACCATTTCCCTCAAGATGCCACTCACCAAAGCTATTGCAGAAAGAGCAGCGGCTGCTCCAGTCTCCATATTACATCATCTCCATCAGAGCTAGCCCAGCCTGAGAAATAGTTTAAGTATCCTGCACTCCATTAATAAGAGTGGCTTTACTTTGGTCCCATGCTGATATGGAATGGGCATGGCTGGAGCCTTAATTAAAAGGTCTGTTTCCCAATATCATTGCATATTGTATGAGCTTATCTTTCAATTTTTTAAAAAATGAGGAATGCAAATGCTCTGTAGAAGATCTTGCTTTAAATTTCTGTAGTGATCCTTAAATGAATGAGTAAATCTATGATGCAGCACTGGGATAGGGTTAGGCATCCTCTTAGTTTTAAGTGATGTCCCAGAAAATAGATGCCTGCCTCCTCCACCCAAACATGAATACACAAATCTACTTTTGGAATGAACCCAAAGTATGCCATATGCTTACCCAAGAGTTTAAAAAGTAAGCACTTCTACTCATCTGAGTAGGTGCAGAGCTGTTCAGTGTGTGTCATTTCCCCCTTTTTCAAGAATTAAGATGACTAAAGATTACATTTTGGCATGTGGACAACATTAACTGTGAGATGCTAATGATACAAAACAGAGACAATATGTGTATTCCTTTCTTAAAAACACAGCAGGTGCTCTTAAAAGTAAAGAAGTATATATTGGAGATGTGCTCCAGAAACATGTTTGGTGGAGTTGGATCTTTCTGTGTGTGTCTGCGTATGCATGTCTGTATGTGTGCTCACACACATGTGTGTGTCGAGGTTTCCACCCAATTTCTGCCCCTGGAAAAGCTTGAGGCAGTCATACCACAGGCTGTGCTTATGTCTCCAGCACAGTTGTGCTACTGTGTTATGACACCAAGCCAGTGCTAGAGCTTCATGTGCGGCCTACCATACCTCATATCTTTCTGTACTCTCGCTGGAACCTTCTGGATTCCAGTGAATTATCCCACAGAGTGTAAAGTAGTTTGACCACAAGTAAAACTATGACTCCATCACCAGATTCTTTCCTAAAGCCATTTTCTAAATTGACCAAAGAGTATATGCCCACTCAAAGTTAGCTCTTGCACTGGACAAGCTTCTGGAATGCTTTCTTGAAATCCTCATTAAAGATTGTATAAATCAGCGGGTTAACAAGCGAATTGATATATCCCAACCATGTCAGAAAATTAGACATTTCTTCTGAAATCTGACATCTTTCACAGGTATTAACGACCACCTCCTTCACAAAGAAGGGAAGCCAGCAGATCACAAAGGCACCCAAAATCAAGCCAAGGGTAGTTGCTGCCTTGCGCTCCCTTGTGGTTGAAATTCTTTGTCTTCTCCATCCCTTTTCATTCTTGGATTCAGAGTCAGGGCTTCGCAGGGAGAGATGGATTCTGTCCAGATCTCCTGAAGGGTTTGAGGTCTTATCTTTTGTGCATGATGCTGATGAAGTAAGCCTGCAGCTTTTTTCACCTGCTTCCAAGAGACCCTGTCCATTTACCTCCTCTTTGAGAACCCGACTCATGCTCCTTCTGTGAAAAGTCTTGGCTGCCTTGTATATTTTGTAGTAAAGAATCAAGATTAGTGCCAGGGGGATGTAAAAGGCTCCAAATGTGGTGTAAATGGTAAATACGATGTGATCATGCTTAATGATGCATTCGTCATCCCTGCTGGTTGCCTGGTGCCGCCAGAACAATGGCGGCATTGAGATGAAGATGGAAATGATCCACACAATGGCAATCATGATGCCTGCATGTTTAGGTGTTCGCTTCCTGGCATACTCGACAGCATCTGTGATTGCTCGGTAGCGATCCAAAGCAATAGCTGAGAGATGCAAGATGGAGCAGGTACAGCAGGTGATGTCAACACTGAGCCAGATGTCACACATCACCTGACCCATGATCCAGGTCTCTTTGACGATATAGACAATGCTGAAGGGCATGACTAGGATGGCAACCAGGAAATCAGTCACAGCCAAGGAACAAATTAAGTAGTTGGCAGGATGGTGGAGCTTCCGTGTCACAATGATCGCTGTCATGACCAGAGAGTTAATGACTGTTGTCATTACAGCTAGCACAGAAAGCGTGAGAGAAACCAGAATCTTGGACGTCACTTTTTTATCTTGGTCTTCTGAGGTATCATTTCGGTCTATTGTATAGTTTTGTTCAGTAAAGTTTAAGAAATCCATTATTTCCTTCAAGGCAGCCTTTACTTAATGAAGAAACCTGTGTGAGAAAGTAAGCACAGTTTAGGAAGCACACACACATATCCATACATCTTGCAGGGATCTCACAATACACAACATATGTTTTCCTGCATTCCCCATACCATATCTTTCTGTGCGTCCTATAAAATCAGTTTTGTCATCAAATCACCACCTGTACTGATCCTCTTTCTTCTGGATCGAAGCTGATTTGTACCCTAGTCCAATGCATTTAGAATTACATTATCCTTTAATGTGAAACCAATGTGTTGTTAAGTATGTAATTGGATTTGATATGTCTGTTCTATTTTCCTTTAAATAGCAGTGGGAGGGAATGTGATGCACATCAGGGCTGGGATTGTAGCACATACGTGTGGGCTTTAACTTTTCCCACCCACTACTGTCCTTGGTGGAACCTTGACCAAAGCTGCTGTTAGTCACAGGAGAAAAGTTTGGATTTTTACTGATGAACCGTTTCCCACTCAGCTGCCAGTTTGTGTGTTCAAATATGTGTGCATGTGCTCCCTTGTGAACCACACCAGCAGGTCAGTGTTAATCTCCCACTCCACATCATGGTCTCAATAACTACTGTTTTTTAAAATAAAGATCTAAAAACAATTTTAAATAATCAACAAGGGAAATATAAGATTTGATTGCAAACCCCATCATTTTAAAGAAATGCCTGAAACAAGAAGCCCCTAACCAAAAAGATAACCATGTTGGCACAAGGCACCACCAAGAAGGCCCTCTCCCTTGTTGCTGACACCCAAGCCTCCTTCAGAGAAGGCACTTGGAAGAAGGCCTTAGATGACGAACAGAGTATATGTTCATTACAGGATAAGTTTGTTACAGGATAGGTGCTTCATCATGAATTGCAGACCTGAGCAATGGAACCAAAAAGGACATGGGTTGAATGAGCATTCTATAAGCTAATTTATATGTATGGATGCCAATTTAGCAATAATTATTATAATTTTAATAGAAATACCATACAGCCACCATGGCAGGGAAGACTGTGACCTGGTGGCTTGCTTGGCGACTCTCTAGATGCTAAGTAGTGATGGGGAACTACAAGGCTGCTCTCCCTTGTGGTGGTTCTTTATCCTTTAACTGCACTTGGACTGGACAATCCTTCAGAGTTGTGTCATCTGACAGACCTTCAAATACTTCTGTAAAATAGGAGTTCTGCCACTGTATGGAGGTTCTGCTTAGGTGGTGATAACTATGAAACGGTCTACTTCCTCCACCTAAGCCATTAGAATAGGCTTAGGTATGGGTTGTTGAACCATAGGTTATCATATTAAGAACAGTTTGTTAATTCACATTTTAAACCCCAACATCAGACATGGGTTGTCTTAATGGGTTGCTTTTGGTTAACAAAGGTTTGTTAGCATAGCTGGGTTCAGACTAGACAATAGCCTTCATTTCATCCATAATGCTTGGTTTCAAAGACCCCATTCTCAGGCCATACTTAACCCTTGACTGTAGGTTATTGTGTTGTTTGAACCCAGTCATTGTCTCCTGACAATGGATGCTTATGTCCATCTCTGCTCATTGAAGTGGAATGTCTCAGAAATTTCTGTCTCTTTGAAGCACAACATGATAGATTTTCTGTACTAGAAATGTGGAGACCTTGTTTAGTCATTTCTGACCTATTCTTTCCCCCCACAAAGATAGACTATGCGAAGGTCAGTGAACCAGGCAGATTTCAGTAATTTCTTCTTTCTCTTTCAAACAGTAATTCGTCACTGAACCAATAAAGAGAAAACCCTTTTTTCACATTCTGAACTTGCAGTTTGTCAGAAACAGGTGGGGGTTCCTTTATTTTTTAACATGTGGCTTTGAAAAATGGTTCTGAAATAAAGGAATGCAAACAGGTAACTTTTCAAATTGTATTGCAGTGGATAATAAGCAAGCGAGCGAGCAAGCACATTCCCTATTTTAGTTAGTGGAGAAAAGGATAACCAGCAAATAATTAAGTGACTCATGGCATTAGCTGTTGTGTTCCTGACTGTTTACAAGTGTTCCTTCCTGGCTCTTAGATATACATTTAGGTAGGTGTATATTCTGCCTGTCACAGGGAAGGATAATGCACAGGGGAGAGTTCATGGAGAATGCCAATTTGACATGTGAAATATGCTCATTAATTGGCTCAGCTAAACATGAGGCTGCCGCTGCTTAAGCAATGCACCATTCAGCTTGTTTTATAAAAGTGCGACACTTTTTTCGTGTAAAGAAGAATGATCTACACTTGTATCTGTGGTTACTGAGGAATAAACAAAGATACACTTGTGGAGGATAGGTCTGTCAATGGCAATTAGCAATGATGGCTAAATCTGATCTTTGCATTCAGGTCACAACTCTGAAAACAGATGCCGAAGAAAGACAAAAGGGTGTCTGCAAGCACCACATATCTCTGTGAGAGTTAATCAGCAGTGACTTTCCTTTTTCAAAATTCTGCATGCAAACATAACTTTATCTGGTTAGTTCTTTTTTGGCCTTCTGTTGCCCTGAAATGTTGCAATTACATGCACTTCATTCCTGGTTAACCCTGAATTTGCCTACAGTGCCCTCTTGCCTTGGCGCGAGAGGCCAGATCTTCTGCAATGATTTCTGGGTATCTTGGTCCCAAAAACCTTCACACTTTTTGTCAATGTTGCATTAGCACAGGTGTCAGTAGGAACTAAATTTATTTATTTATTTAGAAAATTTCTATGTCGCCCCATTCGCCGAAGCCTCGGGGCAGCTTACAAATAAATCAATTAAAATACTAAAAATTAACAATATAAAACAAGTTAACAATATAAAATAAGTCGCCCTGGCCAATAAATAAATACATACATACATACATACATACATACATACATACATACATACATACTATTAACAGTTAAAATGATGCTTGAATAGAAAGGTCTTCGCCTGGTGCCGAAAAACAAATAACGACGGCTCCAGGCGGACCTCTCTGGGGAGCGCATTCCATAGATTGGGCGCCACCGCAGAGGAAGCCCTCCTCCGAGTACCTACCCTCCTAATTTCCTTCATGGAGGGTTCCCGGAGAAGGGCCTCTCCCGCAGATCTCAAGGGGCGGGCGGGCATATATGGATGTAAGTGCTCCTTCAGGTAACCAGGACCCAAGCCATTTAGGGCTTTATAGGTCATCACCAACACCTTGAATTGGGCCCGGACTTCAATGGGAAGCCAGTGAAGCTGACGGAGGACTGGAGTCATGTGAACATAACGCCCAGTCCCCGTCAGCAGCCTGGCAGCTCTATTTTGAACCAACTGAAGTATCCGGACCGTCTTCAAGGGTAGCCCCACGTACAGCGCGTTGCAGAAGTCAAGGCGGGAAGTCACCAACACGTGTGTCACTTTTGCCAGGCAGTCGTACTCCAGGTAGGGGCGCAGCTGATGGATCAGCCAAAGCTGAAAGAAAGCGCTCCTCGCCACCGCTGTCACCTGAGCTTCCAGTGAAAGCTCTGGGTCGAGGAGCACTCCCAAGCTGTGGAGCTTGTCCCTAAGAGGGAGTGCAACCCCATTCAGGACTAGGTTCAATTCACCCTCACCGAAGCCGATCCGCCAACCCACAGGACCTCCATCTTGTCTGGATTGAGCTTCAGTTTGTATATACTAGACAAGAAACATTTATAGTCTGTGGAAACATCTACAAACTAGATAATTGGGTTGGGGTAGATAGCATGTACCGTATATTTGTTGGTGCATTGGCAATATGTGTTCAGCAGTGAGAATTTGCTCTCTATAGCAATATTTTAAATGTTTATGATAGAGCTTATTCCAAATTAGTGAAGTGCAGCTGTGTTAGATTTGAACTCCCATTGGCCAAGCTGATTGGGGATGCTGGGCATTTTAATCTGACACACCTGGGAGTTCCAGGTTGGGGGAGGTGACTGATTAATATCCAAGGAAATATTAATATTCCCCAACTCCATGATCCTGCTGGTTTGCCTATTTAAAAACAATTTCTGATTTTTTACATGTTGCCAAAAGCCCTACTGATAAGTCATTTAGGAATAACTTGGAAACAGTGAGACTCCATACAAAAACCTTCCAATAATTCTGTATTCCTCTGCAAACTAAATCTCTGTACAGACCAGAGCTACAGTGAGGTTTCTTGGTTTTGTGTCAGCCAAAGAGCAGCCTCATCTATAGATAAGCACAAAGACTCTAGCTGGGATCACAAAACTAAGCTGCAGAGCATTGGAATATCTGCCTCCCCCCGCCCCCCAAGTTTTGTAGAACTGTGTCAGTGATGGCCTTCTGGCTGTAAGCATCAGGAATAACTATAGAACTGTCCACATGTATCAGCCAAATATAAGTCAATCTACAGAGAATAAGGTGTGTGTGTGTGTGTGTGTGTGTGTGTGTGTGTGTGTGTACGCCTGCCAAGAAAAGTGCTGTGATAATGATAATTGTACTTGGCTCCATTGAAAGTGTGGGTGGAATCCACACCTCTTTTCAATTCATAGTTCTGGAGAACTTCCAAACCAGTAAACAAGTCTTAGGGGGTCAGTGGCATTTCTCTGACCATGGGCAGAGATACAGCCACTTTCTGATGTGACTGCAGTTGTGCTGCTCCTGGGCAGAGGGAAAGGTGTGGATTCCTGAGTGTGCAGCAGTGCAACATGGTGATGTGCTCTGTCGCAATCAGAGTGCTTCCAGATGAGGCTGTTATGATGCAATCCCCCAGGTTCACTCACGGAATTTAATGGGGGATGCCAGATGACAATGTCTCCCATGTGCAATAGCCCTGTGTTTTCCTGTTGCTTCTGTTGTGGTTTTGCTTATCACAAACCATCTGTTAAGGAGGGAAACGGAATAGCTGCACAATGACTTTTGGCTGGTAGTGTTGGGAGGCATCGGTCTAGAAGCACCTCAGTGCTGGGGAAGGAACATGTTCCATGGCTATGCCTTGTGAAGTGTGAAGGCCTGGTTTCTTGTGAGCTTCCTGGGATGAAGGGAATGGG